AGAAAATACGGTAACTACAAGTAGACCTAAAAGAAGCAAAAACAAAAGTCAAACCTTAGAGTCCTTGCTTCGTATCCGAAGTAATCTTTTTAAGGCTCCCAATTCAAACTAATTTCATTTTTTTTTACTAAATTTCCATATTTAACTTCACTTTCAGTATCTACATGTCTTGCTCAACAAAATGACACCAAAATCATCAAAATCGGCCCACTAGTTTTGGGGATACAGACACGTAAAGTGGCGCGGTCAAGGATTTAGTTCGGATTCGGATCTAACACACTCAATGACGTTACTGTGGGTTACCAAAAAAGAAGTTTTCTTTTTTGTTCAATTTTAAAAAAAACTGATGAAGTTATTTATTGTTCACCCATTGTAAAGACAAATAACAATAAAACTTTATGCGCATAAAGCCGTATAAACGTTTACAATGCTTTCAAAGCATAGAGTAGTTGCCTGGCCAATTCGAGCTTCATCGGTGATTTGCTCTTCTTTTCAAGTGGATTGAAATGAGGATCTCTTCCTGATCCTTGTTCTTTTTCGTTGAAAAAATCAAGACACACTCCCAGAGTCATCGACAAGTACAAGTCTAAGTCGTCCGACTCGATGCAAAGGTTCTTCAAAAAGGGACACAGATCATTACGATTTTGATAGTTTGTTGAAAATACGGTAAAAAGCTTTTCAATTAAATTAAAAGAAAGAAACTCTATTAGGTGAAGTTTATGAAAAGGCGTTTCCTCGCTTGCTCGCAATAATTCAGTAAAAGAAAAATCATCACGGGAAAACGACATTGAGTCGAGATCGAGGAGCAGCACGTGAAAGTGCTCAACATCATCTTTTTCAAATGGATGCAAGTTGACGATGACAACATTTCTCTCCTTGTTTAGCTTTATAAAGAAAAAGTGTTTTGGGCAACGATTATCAACCCGTTTTTTGATTTAGCCCCGAATTCAACAATCTCTACAATTATTTTGATTAAGTCCGAATAATCATGTAGACTTTATTGCTTGAGTAAGAACGCGACAAAGGGAAAGATAAAGACGAGCATAGCTGAGATACAGTAGTTTGAACTGTTGACATCGCACACCCCGAGCTTGGCCCAGGATTTGAGCTGATACAATCGCGATTCGGTTATAAGTCGAGAAGGAAAAAACTTTCTGTTCCGCTGATTTTGAACAGGTGCTTGATTTGCAAGGCTCGTTTTTTCACTTCATTCATCAGCTCGATCAGTGTTTATTTATTAGACTCAGATTGACTTTTGCAATTCCTTTAAACTCGATGTCTTTGACTTGTCGTGTTATTGGATCTCTTAGCTCGGAAGGGTTTCTAGCGATTTCCAGAAGCCATCTAAAATGATGGCGGTCTTAGGGAAATCAGAGTTCACAAAAATGATGATGACCATAGGCTTCACCCCAGGTACACACAACTCGTCTCATTGTGCAAGAAAACACGCAAAGTGACATAGGTGTGTGGACCAGCCCGCGCTGACAATTTCCTTGAAAATTTTGACAACTTTAACGCCTTTTTATGAGACAGCACAAACAGCAACGATTCTCCAGTAATACAGTGTTTGAATGACAAGCGCGAACGCTTTATTTTCTATTTCCCGAAATCATCCACTGTTACGTATTTTTTCTTTTAGACTTTTTCATGCCTTTGTTTTTGATTTCAGCAAGAAGCGGAAGCGAATTTGATTTCATCAGAGTGTGGTGGCACTTCCAAATGATAGATTTTTGATGCTTGTCGTTCTATGGATGAAGACGGATTCCCGGTAGTAAAATTTTCCCAGACTTGCACTGGTAATCTTGCAGCTTTTGCTTGCTTCATTGTCGCTTCTCGTACCTGATCAAAGCTTGGGTTTTCGTCGCCTTGAAAATGATCAGCGACCAACTTTTTCCCGACTTTATCAAGCGATTCGTTTTGCTCGATGCTTGTCGGTTCAGTTTTACGATCATTCAACTCTTCCAGCATCCAACTCTTCAAACATCGCAGCCACCGGTTAAGTAGACTATTCGTAATGCTGATTTTCAATGAATTCAAAGATGTTCAATTTATGAAAGTTATTGACATCGAGCTCCTCAGGCGTCACCTCGAGCTCGAGCAGCTCAAAATTTTCATTGAAACATCGCGCCCCACAGTTATCGCTATCTGGAAAATCCAATAAAATGAGATGCTCTCTCTTAGGAGTCTTTTAATTTTACAAAAAAGAAACTCAGGCGACACCCCAAAAAGCCTTTTGAAAGCGCTTTGCAAACTTTGTATCTGCTATGTCGTTTCGAAAATTTTGGTTATTATTGATGAAGCTCTGGAGCCAACTTTGTTGAAGAAGACAATATTTTCGTAAAAAAGATGAGATAGAAAAAAATGATGAACAGCTACCTGTTTCTCAGCACATGCTGGCAATTCTAGCAACACCTCAGGTGCAAATGCATATCTATCACACCTCACCTCTCACATGGACACTCCACTTGGGGTGAGCTTTTCAACTGAAAAACAAAACCTGGAACCGGTGGCTCTAAACCGTGTGTTGTTGAGCGGAAAACTGTTTTCGGATTTTGATCGGACACCGAATTGCTTTGCTTAGTTGGAAGGAACGAAGCTCAACATGAAATTTTATTCTCTCGAGTGCTGAAATTATCATGCTAATGTCGATGGACTCCGTTTTCTGGACAAAGATCATTCTTCCAGCCTCTTCCAGTTTCCCGTAAACACTGATCGCCACCTTAAAACTTTCTTTCGTCTTGCCACGAAGCCAAGCCAGATCTTTGCATTCATCAAATCTTTGCTTTTTTCTGGAACATCGATTATTTCAGATTTTCCCCCCAAGAACCATTCCTCTTTTGTTAGAGCATTATGAGAAAAAGCTGCGCGGAAATGGAAGCGCTTTTGAACGATTGATCTCGACACTTCAAACAAGGCAATCAAATCGCTCAGTTCCTTTCGAACAAAACCAATTTCCGAAGCTACCCTCTCTGGAAAGTGCCAGATCAAACGAATGGCGCGAAAAGCGTGAATTTCGAGTTTAAGGCAGCACCTCTCCGCTGCTTCACTGGCTAGAAATGCAACCTCATCTTTCAAATCCATCTCTCCTCTCTCCACCACTTCCTCCATCACCTTCGTCCTCCAAAATTTGATCCTCAAAAAAAAGCTCGACCTGTGCTCCCTTTTTCGTGTTTCAAAAGAAATTACGATATCTTTAGCTTTTGCGACGATTCTCTCGTGAAAAATCTCGGCATATTCCACAATGAAGGTTCCGTGGGAAGTTGTCGGGAGAAAAAATTCTTGAAGCCGAGAGCAATTTTGGATCAGCTCCAGTCAAAGTCAAAGCAGTTTCTTCAATTCTGGGTATTTCCTCTCTTCAAGAATTTTTTTGTCGGATCAACTTCTTTTTTGGTCGATTTTCCATTCATTATTAACTTTTGTGAAAGTTTTGAATCATGGAGTTCAAAATGGAGGCGAAAGGTGGGAGAAAGGAGTCATCATTTGGCTCTACAGCTACCAATTCCTCAGATCCATCAAAAACCGATTGGCCTCCAAGAGTGTTTTTTGTTTGTATTATCGAAGGGAAGGAATTATTTGTAATTTTCGTTTGTAATTTTCGTTTGAAATTCTGGTAATTTTCTAAAAATCGTGTTGAACAACATCAAAACGAGAGAGCATACCTCTTTCAGACTTGAGACACTTTTCCAAACATCCAGCCGCAGTTACTCTTTCTTTGTAATCAATAGCACAAACATCTGCTTAATGAACTTTAAAGAGTTGATTAACGATTCTTGGTTTTAATGATTAATGTTTAAAGATTAATGTTTAAAGATTAATGTTCTTGGTTTTAATTCCCTTGTTTATTTCTTGTTTATTTATTTCTTATAATGATAATTGAGCAGATTTATTAAGTGAAAAGCTTCCAACCCAATTTGATCGACTTCAAGTCTTCGGGACACTGTAAGCACTCTTGTGTTTGTAACAGCCAAATACGAAAATCTACCGTTGGACTTCTGTCCAACACCTTTCTAAAGCAAATAAATACAAGAACTTTTAAAAGCCCGGTTTTATGTTGTGAATGTTCTTGTGAATGAATGTTTAACAATTTAACAGTTTAACAATGTTTAACAATTTCAGAATCTAAACTTTCCCTACCTTCGTTCAGCGATTTCCCATAAAACTAGGCCGACACCCCAAAAATGTCTCTGCTCAGACGTGTCTTTCTGAAAGTTTTTCGATCTTCAATTTTTCCGAAAACAAGTTAAGGCATTGGCATTGACTTGATGTTAAGGTACTTACGAAGCTAGATAAATGACAGGATTGTTCCAACCAACAAAAGGCTTTCTTTTCGCGAAATAGCAGAAGAGTTATCAGGTAATCCTTTACAGTAATATTCGAACATTGCATACGCTAGGGTTTAAAGCCTTATTAGGGACTTCGAAATCAATTGCCAATCATCCTTTCTCGATACGAACGCAAATCTTTTTATTCAGGTATTTTTGGCCGGGAGTATGAAAATGGATTCTAACTACATCAGCTTTCGGAGAAGGCGCCAATGGGTTTGCTGAGAAGGAAGAGCCTGAACCCGACAGCGTCAAGCCAAAATGTGCATGAGAAGGAAGTGAACAACATAGTAATGCTTGATTAAATTTATCGAAGATGACTAAAATAAACTCATTTGGATGGGAGGTGATGGTTTATTCAGCCGAACAGCCTTGATATTGCACCTTCTGATTACTACTTATTCCGGACGATGAGCAATGATTTGGCGAACCAATGTTTTTTGACGCCAAGAAGAGGTCAAAAAATGTGCTGATAGATTGGTTTGCTGTCAAAACCGAAGATTCTCTGCGAGAGAAGCATTTGACTTCTGCCAGTAAAAAGAGGCAAAAATCATACAAAATAATGGAAAATATCTGTGCATGATTTGAAGAGTTGTTAGAATCTGAAGAAAAAATTTCATTTTGGGAAAACGTCCCAAGTCATACCCACCAACTAATAGCTTTGATTAAGTTTGAGTTTCTGATTGTCAATAATTTATTGGGTTGGTGAATTGAAAACTGCGGGACTTTGAACAAAAATTTATTTAACATAAAACCATCAATCCATTCCAAATAATTTCCATTATTATTGACCCACTTCCTGCCCATTTTTCAGGCAATTTGCGGATTCGCCTTTCGCAGTAGGATTTTGGTTTGTGTGTGAGACAAGTGTGAGACTAAAAAATGGGAGGACTGGAGATGTTCCCAGTTTGAGCACTTAATCTTCAAAAGAAACCCATTTTGGTGTCAATAGAAAAGTTGTAGAGAATCAAAAATTAGGCTTATAGCCAAATTTCCAAAAAGATACACTTAGTAGTTTCGCTTAAAATGCAAGTTTTGTGAAGATTCGTAAATTTGGCATTTCTTGAAAACCAGTTTTTGAATGGTTCTTGAAAATTTGGATATAAGCCTAATTTTTGATTCTCTACAACTTTACCTATTGACACCAAAATGGGTTTCTTTGAAGAAAGTGCTCAAAATGTCACAAACTACAATAGCCCGCAGTTTTCAATTCACCAACCCAATAGACAAAAGGTTTCGTTAAAAATAATTCTTTTTTATAAGTTTAGAAAGCTACCGTCAAGCGGTTTTGGTGGCACCTTTTGAAACGTCTAGGAGTTCTAGCCCAGAAACAATCACTGCAGAATTTTTTTATACCGTTAAAAGAAAAGATATTGCGATTGCTAAAAATAATTAATCAACCCAGATCATTCTTTACTCGCAGTCGTTTTATGGATCGTTTTTATGACCTGCTGTTTCTTTTGTAATTACCTAACATTAGCTGTTTTAAACCTTGATTCCTTGCTCGTCATTGTAGAGAATTTCTGGTGCCTTATGTAGCGTGGGAGTGCCCCGGATCGAGACTGTAATGCTGGTTTCAATGACCGATTCCCCGAGCCCTAAATCACCCAATTTTAACACAAAGCCTCCGCTCACCAACATGCTAAAATTTTCACTGATACAACCAGAGATCTTTCCGTTACTCTGTCTACTTTGATATCACAATTGGATTCTTTCCGTTCTTCTCCAAATATACAAGCGCCTTGAAGAGGTGCTCCGCCCATTGAACAACCGTGTAGATTGTATAGATCATCGATGGTCCGAAAAAATGACTAAATCAGTGCTGAAATTTTTCGCTGAATTTTTATTCAAACTCACCTGGACTTAACGCCCCATGCTGACAGTATTGGTGTGTTCCATTTGGAGGCCACGGTAGTGATGATTGTCGATGATCTCGTCGAGAAAACCAAAATATTGGACAATGTTTGGGTGTCGCAGTTTCTCCGAGTTGCCGTATATTCGATTTTTAAATCCGATGATGCATGTGGATTCCGACGAAACAATATTTGAAGAACTACTGAGGCCTAAACTTTTTGGTGTAGGGGACAAAATTTGACGAAAATCAATGGAGAATTCCAATATTATTGCTATTTTTGTTATAATAATGCATAAAAACTAAAGTAAGAAATGCGACGAAATAGTAAAAAAACGTTCATAAAAAAAAAAAAAATTTCTTTCGGGTTTTAAACGGATCAGCAGGCATTCAAGGCCAAAGATACCAAATAGGATTAATGATTGATGTTAACAGTCTAAGATAATTTACAAAGCCAAGGAGCAAACGAGGCACTTCTCCTTTGGATTTTCGAGAGAGAAAAAAAAAGGAAGAAAACGGAAAAACTCACTCAAACGTTTTTGCGCGAAATATTGCTTTTTGAAGTAGTATTGAACTGGTCATTGCTGCAAAAATTTATTGAAAATTAAAATTTTTATGTTTTGGGGCGGGGGAAAAAAGCCAGGCAGAGCGCTATTTAATATCATTTGAAAGCCTGGAATGTCCTCTGTACAATGATATAAAAAGTTAACAAAAATATTATCCTCTGACCAAGTTATAAGCCGTCAAAGCGTGACGATCCGTTTAAAACCCCGGAAATACGCAAGAGCCATTTT